TGAGGGGCTTTGTTCGTTCATGGGGTAATTTTTTTCTTTTATGGAATAAAACCTGGCAGAGATGTTTTTTGGAGTGGCTCTGGTATTTATTACCCTGAACTGGCAGGGAGCATGTTCAGCCAACACTCATCCTAGGTAATTTTCCCTCCTTCGTGTATCTGTGGGCTGTTCTCATGGCCCCATCTTGGCCATAGCTTTGCCACACTGCTCAGATTTAGCTTTCCAATCTTTCCTTGTAAATCACAGCTACAGAGGGAGGGGGCATGGATAAGGTGAGTGACTTCTCCAGCCTCCCCCCTGTGAGTCAGTGACACAAGAGGAGGAGTTAAAACCCTGGGGCCCTAACACCCATCCCCTGTTCCTACTGCCAGACATGATACAGAGAAGTTAAATGATTGTGCTAGAAATTTCATCTCGAGCGAGGCAGCTGAGAAGGGCTTAATACAGACATTCTGTCAAGGTTTAAGGCTCCAAATCTTGCTTGCTTCAAAGCTCTTTTTCCTTGGAGGGCTTTAGTGGTCAAATTTCCCTCTAGGTGCTGTAATTCTCTCTCAAACTGCTCACTAAAGCTGTAAAATTACAGGGGTGAGTGGGGGAATCAATGGGCTCTAGCAGTGTGGCTTAGTTCCCAGCTCTGTCGAGGTCTCAGAGCAGTGAGCTGGTTGCCTGCCTGCAGGTACCCTCTGAGGAGCTGGGTGTACACCCAAACTGGCCACAAGCATCTGCTGCACAGGGACATGGATTTTGTTCCTGTCTGCTCACTTCAGTGTTTGTTTGCAGCAAGAGCCAGAGCTGGATGGATAGTGGGAAAGGTGATTTGCAGTCACATATTAGGAAGCAGCAGTGGAAAACACATGCTGAACCCACCATGAGATGGAGGATGCTTCAAAGAGCCCAGCCTCTTCCCCTTCAGTGGGCAGCAGGAGCACGCTCAGAGGGGATTTAAGATAAAGTTCAGCAGATCCTGTTAGCTGACAGATCTGCAGCTAATAGCCTGAAATTTAGGGGCTGAAATCTCTCTGGACAGAGGTTATATCCCACCTAGATGATAGTCCATGGAGAGCCATAGGCCAGATGGGGATGCAAAGAAGTGCTCTCAGGTAGCTGGAAGGACCTGGGGATGTGGACTCTCAGAATTACTGCAGCTGCTCAAGGAAGAGCAGGAACGTCAGACTGATGCTGCTCATAACACCTCACCAATATGGGTTCAATTCAACGTGTGCTCCTATGCTGCATAAGCCCTTGCAAGAGGTAGCCAAAGCAAGAGGGGAAGGGCAAGGAGGGAGCATGGAATCCAAGAACAATGCCTGGAAGAACTGCTAGCTGCTGATGGCTATGTAGAGACACATGGTGACCCAGGACAACAGCAAAAGGTTGGTGAAGAGCCACATCCGTGAATGGGATCATTGAGACACGGTCTCTAGCTCAGAAAGAGCAAGGGCATCCTCCACCCCTTCCCATGGGTGTACAGTATCTGTTCTCACTGAGACTGCAGCTCCTCTTTGGTGAAGAATTTCTTTTCCCATCCCTCTTCTTCCTCCTGGTGTCTCAGACATGCCATCAGAGAAGGATGCTATGGATGTCCAGGACTCCCCTTGAAGTCCAATGCTTGAGGAAGACCTTTCCCAGAGCAGGTCTACTGGGTGTGCTTTCTGCAAAGGGGATGAGCTTTCAGTATCTTTTTGCACCTCTGCCTGCTGCAAAGCGAGGGCAAGCTGTCACCTTGGCCTTTGTGGGCTTGATGGGCTGCCTGGCTCTCAGCAACATGAAGATCAAGGCACCAAAGGCTATCCCAAGCCTTGGGGTGAACATCGAAGCTTGCAGTCAGGGACAGAAACTGCAGCTGGGAGGAGGCAGTGCTGTTCCACTTGCTGTCTGCAGGGCACAGGACTTCCTGAAGAGACCAAGAAGCTATCTCAGACCCTTCTCCCCAGACAGAGGGCTGGCAGAGCCCAGCTTGGTGTCATCAGCTTTCCTAAGGAAGTGGCAGTCAGGGTTGGATAGAAATCTCATCCTGAGGCTTACTACTCAGATTTGGCAGCTGCTTGTCCAAGTGGACTTGGCCACTAACAGAAGCAAAGGTGGATCCTGGTCACTTGCTGGGCTTTGTGGTGCTCAGCACTACCTTCATAGAGAGGGAGCCCAGGCCCCAAGCAGACAGGCTGGCAGGAGCCCCCCAGCTCCCAGCCCTTGCCTGTCACTGCCTCTGTCAGCTCCGATAATAGAAGAACCTGATACAATAATCCTGCACTCATCACATCCCATGTTGAGTGATTGGATTTTCTTTGACATATTGCCATGAAAATTGACCCAGTGCAGTGCAGGGAGTGACAGTTCTTCAGGGGCAGGAAAGCAGCAAGAGAGGAACATGATTTTACATCTGGGCCTTCACTGCCAAGAAAGACGTTGGTTAAGGCAACAGTGGGGAAGGGCTGGAAGCAGAGTCAGAAGACAGCATGGGGGGAGTGGGGGTTAAATCCCAGCTGCACACCAGTAAGAGCCTCAGACAGAAGAGCACAGAAGCAGCAACAGTTGTGATACTATAGCAAAGGTCCTAAAGGAGTCCTAAAGTGGTCTTAAAGCCACTGGTGACCACAAAAGTAACATGACTGGCCTGCAGCCCATTCCAACTCCCACAGCCTTGAATGAGACCAACCTGTGCACATTGCCAGGGGATGCTGGATGCTCCCAAGGGAGATGCAGCCTCTTTCTCCTGCTGCTGTGCTGCTGCAGTTGTCAGCCCTTTTGTTGCCACTGGAAGAGGGACCAGCCAGATGACCTAGTGACAGTCCCTGTAGCTCCTTCAACCAGTGTCCAGGGTGGGAAGTGGGACACAGCACAGGCCCCAGCTCTTTCCAGGCATTGCCTGCCAGACCTCCAGCAATGTCTGGATGCCTGGGCATGAGCTGCAGGCCCATCTCAGGGTCTGTCCCCCATACCTCCTTCTGGGACCCCTCTTAATGGTAGCCCAGAAGCCCAGCTTTGTCCCCAGCAGGACTTTCTCGGAAGGACTTCACATGCTGATGATCTATTCCTACCCCATGTTGCAGAAGCTCAGTGAGCACAAAGGGAAGAGAAGCCTTCATCTTCCCACCACCCTCCTCCTCAATCCCATGTGATTACAAATAGACTTTTGATACCAAGCCCAGGTGAAGGTGACAGCGCTGTGCCTTCCCATGCCACACAGGACTTGTCTCCCAGCAAAAGCCACCTAAAAATAATGAATCCTCCTGGGCTGAGAGGCTTTCAAGCTCCCTGAGAAGGGAATGAAAGATTTCCTGATTTCACCCTCTCCCTCCCTGCTCTCCTGGCTTCTTGAAGTTAATGTTCTTAGCCCCAGACGTGACGGGCAAAGGGAAAAGATCCATGTGGTGACAGGGGATGATTGATCTTTTTTACATAGAATGACGCTCCAGTCCCAGTTTAATCCCCTCACTCAAGGCAAATGGGATTCTTTGTCAATGGAAGCTTCAAAAGCCCAGCCCTGCCGTGAGATGGACCTTCTTCTTTATCTGGTCTCTGTCAGTCACTCACTGTGTTTCCCTCCAAACAGCTAATCTGTCTTCCTAGCTGTCCTTCTCCCTCACAGGCAATGTGTTTGGGACTGTGGAGTTATCTACACTCAGACCTGATGAGGAAGAAAGGGGAAGCTTGCAGAGTCCAGCAGCTCTCATTTTGCAGGTGCCCTTTCCAGCTCCTGTGAGACATCCCAAGGAAGCCTCATGCTCTGTGGATTTTCAATAGCAGGTGGGTTTGGTGATTGCTTTCTGCTCTGCAGGTTTTTCACAGGAGAAATTGCCAGGTCTCTGCCCTCCTCCTGATATCTCCCAAGACAGGGCATGGGAGACAGGGATAGTCATGCAGGAGCTTGGAATGCCAAAGGTGTGGAGCATGATGGAGTATTGCTGTGATCTTTATTTTTCCTTGTGGGGTTTGAGAAATTGTTGGGTTGACTTAAGAGGTGTCCCTGCCTGCTGGGGACTCAGGTCAGCATGGTGGCTCCCCAGCCCCTCACTTGGTGGGGCAGACAGGGTTGTTGTTCTTGAAAAGACACCCAGACTCAAGGGGAAACCTAGAGGTGAAATTTTAGTCTCCATTTCTTACATCACATGCCAAAAATGACCTAAAGCTTCCAGAAAAAAAAAAAAAAAAAAAAAAGGGGAAGTGAGACCTGAATTTGATTCTATTAAAACAAGCATGAAGACATCTCCTGTGAGAGATGCCCTGCATTTCCCTGCAAGCCAGGAGCCTCCCTGGCTTGGACTGTGACCTGAGAGGAGTAGCAGATCCTGGATCACTTGCCCTGGGAACCACAGCATGGTTTTCAGAGGCCATGCAATGCCCAGCTGCGCTGAGGTGCTCCCTGCCACCCACCTGCCTGCCCAAGCTCTGGTTCTTCCCACTACCATATCAAAAGAAGCCCAGCTACCACTGGTACTAATTATTAAATTATGCCCCTTGCAGTGATACCATGATGCTCTGTGCATTTAGTATGTTTGCATTCTGAGCCTAGGAGCTGGGAGGTGGGTCCTGGGGGGGGGGGATGCAACTGAGGCAGGATGTTTTAGTGATTTGGGCTCCTCCTCAGGTGTGCTTCACTCCCTTGAGGCAGTCCCACTCTGCTCTTCCAAAGCTGGCATATGGCTCTGGCTCCAAGAACTCCTGCACATGATTGCCCAGGCTGAGCTCAGCCTGCGTGTGATCAGCTCTTGTTAGCTGTCATTACACACAATCTGGAGTCCTGGAGCCCACCATGTCCTTCAGCTCCACTGTCTTTCTGCTCCACAGGGAACCAGAGAGGCTGTGCTGGGACTTGACAGCTCCAGCCCAATAAGTGAGTGGGGCAGCAGCTTCCCACAGTGCTGGGCTGTCCCCAAAGTGGGGCCACCTCCCTGGGGAACACTGAGTAGCAGGAGAGGGAGTGGGGCTGTGCAGGCCAGGGGGTGTAGAGACCATCCTTCCTTGAGGCAGGTAAGGTGTGCCTAATTGTGCTCACTTACCTTGGGGGTACCTGCTGCCATGGCATCCTTCAGGATGGAGCTCTTGCTGCCAAGAGAGAAGAGAACAGGGTCAGAGTCACAAAACTGCTGTGGTGGGCAAGGAGGGAGCTCTGCGAGGGATCTCACAAGGTCAAATACAAAGCACATGGCTCCCCTTCCCAGACCTATGAGACACTCCCCTCCCTGATCGGAGAGGCATGGAAAGGAGGGCAGTGCCAGCTATTTATCCAGATGGAATAAAATAGTCCTATGAGTGAAATCCCCCAAAACCCAGAAACATGATGCAGAGTCAAATCCCAACTCTCTCCCTTCATGGGGGCTTGCACAGCACTTCTCCCAGCTCTGGGGAAAAGCAAGGAGCAAGGCTGAAGGGGAGCAAGGGAGAAGTGAGCAGGGATGGTGAGCCCTGCATAGGATCAGGCACAATTAAAAAAAGGAGGGAAAGAAAGGGAAGGAGATTAAATTGGTGTCAGAGCAAGGGAAAGAAGATCCCCTCAGCTCCAGCAACACTGTGGAGGCAGCAGCTCTGCCTGAGGCTGGAGTGATTTGTTAATTCAGCTTGTTCCCCATTTAGCAGGGAAGGAGGTCCCCGCCACGGTGCTCCTCCTCGCCTGCCCTCGCCAGCGGGAGATGCTGTAGATTTAATAACACCTTCCCCCCTCCAGACAGGTTAAACTTGAAACAATTACATATCAAAGCCGACATGGCGGGGAGGCCTGCACTGTAATTTTTTGGTTATTAAAGTAATCTCTCTCATGTAAATTCTCCTGCTAACATGCTGCAAACAGCATTAGGAAATAAATTATTTCCCCATGATTCGATTTGTCAATGCAAAGCACCTGCAGCAGGCAAAAGGCTCTTGAAATATGTTGCTAAGCCCAGTGCGTGTGCTTGTAAGAGCACGCTGGTGGGATGGCTGGCTCCCAGCTCCCCATAGCCCCGGGGAGATGATGGATGGGTGGGTGGAGGGGGGGAGGTTAGCAGGGGGGAGACGGAGGGTGGGGAATGGGGGGGGAATGGAATTGTGTTTAATAACAAAATTTGTATGCAAGCCTGTATCCCAGGCTAAGGATGAGTGATCGGCAGCCAGAAAGGATTAAAAAGCCTCGCTAAACAGATGCTGACAATAGAACAAGACATATCAAAACAGATCTACTAGCTTGTTCCCCATTTAGCAGGGAAGGAGGTCCCCGCCACGGTGCTCCTCCTCGCCTGCCCTCGCCAGCGGGAGATGCTGTAGATTTAATAACACCTTCCCCCCTCCAGACAGGTTAAACTTGAAACAATTACATATCAAAGCCGACATGGCGGGGAGGCCTGCACTGTAATTTTTTGGTTATTAAAGTAATCTCTCTCATGTAAATTCTCCTGCTAACATGCTGCAAACAGCATTAGGAAATAAATTATTTCCCCGTGATTCGATTTGTCAATGCAAAGCACCTGCAGCAGGCAAAAGGCTCTTGAAATATGTTGCTAAGCCCAGTGCGTGTGCTTGTAAGAGCACGCTGGTGGGATGGCTGGCTCCCAGCTCCCCATAGCCCCGGGGAGATGATGGATGGGTGGGTGGAGGGGGGGAGGTTAGCAGGGGGGAGACGGAGGGTGGGGAATGGGGGGGGAATGGAATTGTGTTTAATAACAAAATTTGTATGCAAGCCTGTATCCCAGGCTAAGGATGAGTGATCGGCAGCCAGAAAGTATTAAAAAGCCTCGCTAAACAGATGCTGACAATAGAACAAGACATATCAAATCAGATCTACTTCAGAAACATTAATATACACACGCACACACGCTCGCCCGCGCGCGCGCTCCCGGCCCTGCACACCCGCGCTCCTTTCTTCTCAATCACAGCAATATGGGAGACATCAATAAATTTTTATGAGACTTTTAGAAGATCAACATGGTACTAGATGTGACAAAAAAGCAATGTGCCTGTCATGTTCGCTTTGTTGGGGACACTTTAGCCCCAGATGCCGAGCTGCAGTGGCAGCGGGGAGAAATTGAATTTGGCTGGCTTTAATCTGCCTTGATTTGGCAGATGGCTGGGTGTTATGAAATGAGCAGGGATGGAGGAAGGTGTTTTCTCCTGGGGCTACAGCCCCCCTCCTCTCCCAGTGCCACCGTACTTGCCCCCCAGCCCAAACCAGGGGGAAACACATACTTATCCATCACCACCAGGTCACCCCAAATGCCTTGGCTCTGCTCCCAAAGAAAGCAGCTGTGGTTCCTGGGGGCCATGGATTAATGGGCTGGGGCATCACCCCTTCACAGCCCCCCTTCCCTGAAGGGTTGGGCTTGCTGGGGGGTGCAGGATTCCCCCCTGTGTCCCAGTTCTGCCCCCCTGCTCTTAGGAGGCTGTGGGAAGCAAAGTCAGTCCCTGCTACCCCCAGAGATGCAGCCCTGGCACCACGTCCAGCCTACACCTGAACGCCTGCGATGGGAGGGATTTCCATCCCCTTCCCATCTCCAGTGCTAGCTTGAATTTCTCAGTCACCCAAGTGTAAAACAACTTTTTTTTCCTTTTATAATCCAAATGCCAGGTTAAAAAAACCCTCATTTCCTCTCTTTTCTTCTTAAAGGTGTTTAAAATTATTCCTTTTTGAAAAAAAAAGAGGAAGAATCTTATTAATTCCTCCCAGAAATGGTGTTAGCATCAGGAAACTGCGGTTTTCAGGACAAGAATTTTTGGTCAGCCCTAAGGCCAAGATGTTGGGACTGATGGGGAAGATCGATTTAGATAAACTCTGCCAAATTATTTTATTCTTCATTTGGAGGCTTAATAAGAACCACCTCCCTCCTTGCAATTTATCCCCACTCTATTGCTCATAAGAGTCTGCAATTTGTTTCTCTTTATTTCCAGAGATGGGTCAGGAATGAGCACAAATACTGGTCATGTGAGTCCCCAAAACCCTACAATTTAAGGGTGCTTTCCTCCCTCCCACAAAACTACCCCCCAGATTATGGCAGGCACAGACCTCTGCACCTCTTAAGGATGCTGGCAGCAGGCTGAGAGTCGAAAGGCCATCAGCAAAGAGAAACCTTCCCCTCCATAAACACCGCAGACAAATTAAAAATGGTAAAAGGGAAATCAAGACCTTTAAAGTTCAAACACTTTTCGGTGCCTTTTAAAGTTTTTTTGCTCTAGGCCCTTGAAGAGAGCACAATCTTTGGAGACCTTGGGATTCTCTTTAATCACCCAGCCAGGCTGCAGTGGTCTGAAATGATTACACATTTACATAGTAATAACCCCAACACTCCCCACATTATTTCATGGCTAGCATATTTCTACTCAGCGAGTGATCCATGTGTTTTAAATTATAACCTGTACATAGGAAATTAGTTACTAAGTACGATATTCACGGGCTCGTCTGACACTTCTAATTAAGGTGATTTACAGAGAATTATCCTACAAAATAAAAAAATGGTGTTTTGCTAGCTAATAAAATATAATTACTACCTGCTTTTATAAGTTACAGTTAGTTTTAATCTATTTGGGGAATTGTTTATCTAGTTCATTACAGAAAAACAACTTCTTTCCCTTTTAGGCAACCCACCCAAAAGTACCAAAGAAGATGAGAAACACTCTGGAAAGACCCAGCAATTTGGACAGCCTCCTTCTCTCTCTCTCCTTTGCATTTCCAAGTGATATGAGGCTGCTTCCCTTTCTCAGGGCTGTGGCACTAGTTCTGGCTGTGCATTTGTGTTGTCCCTGTGTTCAGGTGCCCTGGGGGTAGAATGACGTCCCTGCTGAGGTGCTGCTGGAGGGCTCTGCCCAGCCCTGCAGCTGCATCACACATCCATGTTAACAGGAGCTGCATGGCTGGGTACATATGCACCTTGAGGTGCTCACCAGGGACCCATCACTCCTCTAAATTAAGGCACATCAGCTTTAAAAGGAACACTTACTCTCAGCAAGGCCCTCCACAGAGAAAGCAAGGCTCTGGCTGACCCCTCAGCCCAGGAGAAGCCCCATACCAGGCAGCTGTTCCAGGGAAGCAGGGCAGGACCCTCCTCCTCTGCTCTCACTGTGGCATGGGCATGGACTGTGCCAGCACTGTAGCATTCCCCCAGTGTTCTGGAGGAAAGGCTGGAAAGGTCTGTGGTAACTATAGCTACAGCTCAAGTGAAGGGACTGAGAGAGGTAGTCAGAAAGGAAATCTGAGCGCAGAGTAGCGATGGGACTTGCCTGAAGTCTCAGTGCAGCAACCATAAGGCCAGAAACAGCTCTTAAGCTGTGCTTCAGCCCACCAGAGGCTCTGGGGATCCCCAAGTGTGTTCAAACAAGATTTCTGCAGAGACCCCACCCAGTGCAAGGCAGGGCTTATATGAGCATCTATCAAGGAAGGGCCAAGCTCAGTATTGGGCACAGCAGCCACCCCCAGCTGCACTCCCCACATGTAATTAATCACAACTGCAAAAGAAGTTCCTTGAGCTTGAGCAGCTGCAGTTGTTTGTGATCATCCCTTAACCACATTGCAGCCAGAAGAGTTCTAAAGAGGTGTTAAGAGGCTGATGCCATGCAGCTGGTGTCATCCAGCTCTGCTGCCCTCCTACAGCAGCCCTCTGAATTTAATGGGCACCAGCCAGAGTGTTTGCAGTTCCCACATGAGATCCTGCAAAGCCAAAAGGTTTCTACAAGCCATGGACAACGGATGTATTTCTTAAAATGACAAAAAAAATCCAGTAGAAACAATTTCTTTTCAGCTGCAGGCTCAAAGATGCAGCCCCAGGATGGGAGCCCCGGCAGCAGAACAAGCTGCTCGCAGAGCTGTGAGGATGGGAACACCAGCTGTAAATAAGCAGTCGCTGGGTAGAGAGAGAATTGGATTTTTGTGAATGCCAGTTTTAATAAACGGAAGTGGCACTTGAAGCCTAAATAAGGAAATGGGAGTTTGATTTTTTTTTAATTTTTTTTTTAACTACATGAGGCCAAATCCTCACCCAGCTGCAGGTGACAGCCCCAGCATGGCTGGGCGTGATCCATGCTGTCAGAGGGAGCAAAGAGGGATTTTAAACCTTCTCTGGCTCTGCTTGAGGCACCTGCAGGAA